TCACAACACTGAGAGAAACTCAAGTTTAGAAACATTACATGGTTAATGATGGATCACAACACTGAGAGAAACTCAAGTTTAGAAACATTACATGGTTAATGATGGATCAAAACACTAGTGTAAACTCAAGTTTAGAAACATTACATGGTTAATGATGGATCACAACACTGAGGGAAACTCAAGTTTAGAAACATTACATGGTTAATGATGGTCCACAACACTAGGGTAAACTCAAGTTTGTGCAGAGATTATATAAGTTCATGATAAGACTACAACAATCTAGAAGTCTACGACACACAACAATGCTAACATAAATTACCATATTTAGAGATGTCTCACAGCATTACTATTGACTTTAACACTGGCATAAGGAAAGAAGTCCTGATAACACTATCATTATTTAGTGCCCATATTTGTAACTTGTGGGGTAGGGTATACTGTTTTTTTTTTCCAGAGACTTCTTATATAAAGAGTGAGCTTGAAAGTAGTACTACTTCTTGTAGTGCTTGAAGCTTGGTTATTGGCTTTTGAAGTTTGAAACAAACACATCATGATTGTTGTTGATTTTTAGTTGCCACAACAAGTGGCTCTTTGAATTAATATAAGTGGTTTTAGGCCTTCAGTACATGTTGATAATAATAGCTAGTGAATGTATTAGGTCTTAAGAATGTTTTTTCATCTTCCTGTTTAAGTATATGTTAAATTCAAATCAATCTGATTGAGCCTACAAGAGTTACTTCATACTAATTAATTGATCTGAATAAACAGTATTGTGAATGTTTTGCATATTTTCTTTCATCATTTCAAGTTTATGCTTTTTATTATTATTGACTATTTTTAACTAATGTATTGAGTTTTAGCTTTCTTTGTTCCAGTATTAGTTGAATGTTTTTTATGTTTCAGTTCCTAATCAGTTGGAGGTTTTACCAAATCTTCTTGTAAGGAAAAGCTATTAAAATTGAAAGTTCCCAAAGATGATTTTATATATATTGTTATTTACAAAAGAGGATTTAAGGATTTTTAATGTACTATTCTTCTTACACATAGAATGATCTCAGATTGTTTATAAACAGAAGTTAAAAACCAATATAATGTGGAATAACTTTCTTACATAATTACTTACATTATTCTTGTGTGTTCTACAGTGAAGCCGATTATACACAAGGAATCTTTCAATCTATTGGTTTTAAGGAGTTTCACAAATACTTAATTTTATCTCCAGAAGAAAGAGAGACTGCAGAAGGAAAAAAACTTCTATTGGAAGGTGAGTTTCACATTAGAATATTAGTTTAATTGTCTTGTATAAAGAACACCATATATATTGTTTTATAATCAGGATTGGTCACCATAATGTATTCATTATCCTTCTAAATAAAGAAAACTTAAGAATGGATCTTAAATTAAGGAATCCATAGAATCAGTATTCTATATATATATATAAACTTTTCAGAGCATTTGTAGAGTAAACAGATTTCATCCTTTCTAATTTT